GAAAAAGCAATATTAAAATTTAGGTATATATTAATATATAATAATCTAATTAGACGTTTTTGTTTCAAAATATTTCTACCTTCAACTCTTGAATATACTGAATTATCTGAAGCGTAATAATAAATTGAAGTTCAAAAGCGAATTAGATTCATTCTATATTATCATCATCATCATCTTCTTCATTTTCATCATCATTATTATCCTATCTAGTTACTCTAGAGACTGATTTATCTTAATTTCTGCCAATACCATAAGGCGTCTTCCTCTTTGGTTAAACATTAAACTAATTATCTTCGCCGCCTTTATTAGTTTTGTAATTATTCTCTTCGTCTTCTCTCTAAAGCAATGAAGAATCATCTACAATCTCATTATGATTATCTGCATAATCCATGAATTTACCTTTAGTATTTTCAGTTTAGAAGCTAAGCTAATCCTGAATCGCTTTTTTATATTTTTTAGGTTGCTACCCTAGTATTTATTCAGCGTCTTTTTTTATTTATACCATTAAGCCCTAAGGAGTAAGATTTTAGTCAACATATTTCCTAAACAGTCCTCTATACATTTAAACCTCTAAATTTCCATTATCTTTTGTCGCCTCTCCAAACAGCTAGTCAAAAATTATTTTTCCTTTTTCATTTTTATTTTTCTTGAAATCCACAAAGAAATCTATCATATGAGGAAGTGCTTACACACTTTCTTCAAGTAAGTTAACTTCTTTCCCTTTCCTTTATTTCCTCTACTACTATCTTTACTCTTTTCTAACTAGATTTTTTTCAAACTGCTTGTCTATTAGATTGTGCTAGAAAAAAGGTATCAATTCTTTCTAAGATTTCGTAAGTAATAAATTGTTAGAAACTTTTGAATTTCTAAGGTCCTTCATTATCTTAGTAATATCAAGTTGCTTCTCCACCATGCTTTTACCCATTTTAAAAAATTCTCTATGGTTAAACTTTCGATTTCTGCAGATCAAACTCTTTATAATCTCCTTAGCAGCTAGCATTAGTGAGTATCTGAACTGCTTTCTGTTTGAAAGATTTTTTATTAGATTTAAAAAGGTATCTAATTCATTTTATTCTCCATCTTGCTCATTTATATTCTCCGAGTCTTGATCTCGCTGAGACTTTTTGATTCTGGTATTTATTTTCTTGTGATGTCCTTAGACTCTTGTACTTTATCATTGGTCTCCTCCCTCATCACCATCTCCCCTATCTGATCCTTCATCACCTTGATCACTTTCATTATATTCATTCTCAGCATTTCTAACTTTATTACCTGCATTTTCATTACCCTAGCTTGCAAATATCTACTCATCATATAGATATGTTTTTTTAATGACTTTTTTGTAATATACAAACCTTTACAGAGGAGCAAGAATCATCTAGACTATAGAATAGATAATTCCACTAAAGCCACCAAGGTTAGAAAGTATAGCTACAATATTATTCGGAATTATTTCAACAACTTGCTAGTCTCCTTGCACCTAGAAAGATATCTCTAAATAATCACTTCTAGAAGGAACTCTATCAGTTAGCTATATTTTAGAACTCATAAATTCCCTCTCAAAATAAAAGAGACTTTCATGCAAAAACGATGTACTGCCCTTAAGAATTTTGCTGTTCAGAATAAAATTCATTACTGCTGTAGATCCACTATCCATGCTCATGTTACTGCTAATGACTTGAGTCTTAAAGAAATCTTCTGGCTTGTCATTATCTCTTTCTGCTGTTGCCTTCGAATCAAAGAAGATTGTTTTAGTTTTAACCATAAGAAAGTAGTTATCAACAAATTTTTGAATCAATTAAGAATCTGTTTCGCACACTTCACTAGGATAATATTTCCAAAGAATATTGTCGTCACACTTGAAAAAATACAATTTGATCTCATCATTGGCTGTCTGAAACTTTATATCTTTTTCTACATTCAAGCATATCTCAAAGGATGTCTTCAAAGACTGTTATTCAGCACATGGTTACAGGTCTAAATTATGAAATCCAGCCTCCTCTCCATCTTCGTCCTTATTTATAAGCACTCCTCTAAAGTTCAAGTATTTCATTATATTCATTGCTGATCTGTGTTCACGAGTAAATGGTAAAGATACTGAGACCTAGAAGTTATCAGATGTGAGTTTGACTTCTTTTTCTTTGAAATCTAGAAAATTTTAAGACTGTCTGACTTAACTGATTGGCCCATCCATGAAAACTTAATACCACACATATACAGCCATCACTAGAATATAGATGACAGTAACAAAGCCTCCTGATCATGTCTTAATAGTCTCCTAGCCTTTATAAAGAAATTTTACTTAGTGACCAAACATATCAAAATTCTTAGGACTTAGTATCTTCATCATTATTTACTTTGTTGAAGCTTTATTTATTCTTTATTTTCTTATGCTTTAATTTCTAATCTTTCTTAATTTGCTATTTTGTGAAATCATGGGGTTTTGGGGTTTTGGGG